TCTCTTCTTATTGAATTGTTCCCTTAAACCAGTATGTAGTGACCTTCTTTGTCTCTTCAGATTAGTCTTGGCTTGAAATCCACATTGTCTGAAATTAGGATAGCTACATCTGCTTTTTGCTAGGTTTCTGTTGTCTCAAATAGTTTTCCATCCTTTGATTTTTAATCTATGAGTTTCTTTTTTAATTAAATGGGTTTCTAGCATAATGTGTATCATTGGGTTTTGTTTCTTGATCCATTCTGCCAATCTGTCTTTTGATTGGGGAATTGAGACCATTCACACTGAGTTATTACTGAGAGGTAATGATTTATTCTTGTCATTTGTTTTGATCATTTTCCTGTTGCTGATTTCCTTATTTTTTCCTTTTGTTTAGCCTGTCATCCAAACAAGTATATTCATTCTTTTTGACTTATTGGCATTGTTGGCTCCATTGTCTCTTTCTAAGATATGTTTGAGAATGTTTTGTAATGCGGCTTTGTGGGCCGTGAATTTCTTGAGATGCTCCTTGTCATGGAAATATCTTACTTGTTAATTTTGAAGGAAAGCTTTGCAGAATACGTAAATTGAGATTGGAAGTTGTTATATTTCAAAGCTTGAAACACTTCACTACAAGCACTCCTGGCCTTTAAAGTTTGTGTGGAGAAACCTGCTGTGATTCTAATGAGTTTAACTTTATATGTGATTTGTTGCCTTTCTCTAACAGCTTTTAAGATTTTTTTGTGGCCAGGATCACTTCTGGTACTTTGAGTAAAATATGACACAGAGAGTTTTTCTTTTGGTTGAGACTATTTGGAGCTCTAGATGCCTCATTTACATGTATGTTTATTTCTTTCCCTAGAGTTGGGAAATTTTCTGCCATTGTTTCCGTGAACAGGTTTTTTATGCCATTTTTATTGTTTTCAGATTTTTCACTTATTCCAATTATTTTTAGATTAGTCTTGGGTCATCTATCAGCTGTTTCATCCATTTTTCATGTTCTCTTGTTGCTTTTAAGACGTCTTTGAGTAGCTGATCTTTTGAAGGCATCATTGTTTTCTAGTTCTGAAATTCTGTCCTCACATTGGTCACTTACACATGCAGTTTATACTTTCAATATAATTTTAAATCTCTTAGATTTCTGATTGAAACTTTTTGATGGACTCTAATACTTTGCTAAACTGGTTCTTCTTTGCTAAACTCATTTTGTATCATTGCTTAGCTCATCTAGGTTTTTATTTGTTTCTTCTGGAAGCTGTTGTATTATTTTAGTTATTACTTTCATTATCTGTTTACTTATATCTTCTGTGATCCCACTGAGTACCTCTTTGATCTGTTTTCAAATCTTCTCTGTTATTCTTTCAAGTAATTCATGTGTATGGCTTACGCTATTCTGCCCATTGCCATCCCTTGGATTGGCTTTGGGGGAGTTGGGAGTTTCGAGAGGCATTTTGTTGCCTTATCTTCTCTTATTTTTTTTTGTTTGGTTTGTGGGTGCTAATATTGTGAAGACTTTTTGCTAGTATAGAGATTTCTTTAGTCCATTTTCAGTGATGTTCTATGGGCATGGCTAATGACAGTCCTTTAACTCTGTCCAAGATCCAACCCCCTTGCTTAATTTGGTAGTGAAGGATGCAGTGTATTAGCCCAACAACTGAGTTCTCTGGGAATGTACTCTGGTATTGTTAATGGCATAAAGGTAATCTGAATGTTGGCTTACAGATAAATGACAATAATTATGTGTCCCTGTTATTATTAGGCAAATCAGCTACAGTACCATCATCAAAGACAAACTGGATATTAACTTACCATAAGAACCAATTATGTACCACCCTTGACCCAAAGAAGAAATCCACAATTATGATGTAAACATGAAGACAACTCAATATTGACATATAGTGAATACTTATGTGTACTAAATGTGACAGTTACATCTCTCCACTAATGATATTAACAAAGCTTTACGGTTATACTAATGGGAATAGGGGAATGCAAGAGGAAAATCTGAAACCTTTAAGTGCTAAGAGAAAGAGGAGAGAGAAGTAGTACTATGGAACTTATTGAGGGAGTAGAAGGAAGTTTATAGAATTAGTTTACAGAAAAAAACAGACACAAAAAAATAGAAGATAAAGGGAAAAGATAGAAAAAATATACAGAGTAAAAATAAGAGAAAAAATTTAAAGGAGAGAAATTAAAAGGGAGAAGAGGAAAAAAATAAGAAAAAAGGTGAAAAAAGAGATAAGAAAGGAAGGACAAAGGAGAATTCTCCTAATTTCTTTATTATATTTCTAACTATCACTTCAATAAAATTGTAACTCAAAACAAACTAATCTTCTCTGGATTAGAATCATTCATCCCACATAATGTTCTTCTATAGCTGGGCCATTTTCAGATTTTAAATTAAGATTAATTATATACTTTCAAAAATATATTTGTGCCAAACATTTTGCTAATACAGATTTGACTTTACCTGTTAGAAATAAACTACATAAGAATACTGTGTAACTAAACTACTCAAGAACAGTTGTTTTTTTCTTTTGGTTTTCAGAACTGTTTTCTTTCACGAACTTCATTAAAAAAAGAAATAAGGCATGATAAATATTGGTGACTTTCAAAACTTAAAAATTTATAATAATGTAAATGTTTACATTATTGTTTCCTTTTAGTTTCTTCAGGGATCTTGGTTTTTTTTCACTTGTATTTACATTTTTACTGCAGAACAATGCTGAGCTATGATCATCTCAGGGCTGATGTTTCATTCCCTCACTAAATTCACAGAGCACATGTAATTTCAAGGACCAATATCAAATCACTCAACACTCATCTCCTTGTGAATAACTCTCACCTATGATTATCCCTATTAACTGGTTAATTTCTTATGGCTACTTTCTGATTTTCAAGTAATGTTTTTAGGACAGTAAGCAACCATAATTTACATATTTACAGATACCTGCTTAAATATTAATTTATTGACAATAAAATTTTATTTAAATAAGGATCTAGGGCCGGAGATTTAGCTCAGTGATTCTGTCACCTGCCTTGCAAGCGCAAGGACTTGAGTTCGATCCCCCGTACCAATAAATAAATAAATAAATAAATAAATAAGGATCTATATACTTAAGAGAAATATTCATAAGGCTAAGAATGATTTGTTTTTTCCAGTTATTAGACTACTATCTATGATAAATAAAATATGTCACTTAATAGAAAATACATTCAAATAAAGGTATATACTTCTATTGAAGTCCTTTATATAAGTATTTTTGACATTATGGGTTTATAATTTTTTTATTTGATAGGCTTACTCTACTGAAGTTCAGGACCTCTCCTGGATGAGCATCTGATCTCCTGAGGCTGTCATTGCTCCTGTTACAAAGATGTATGGCTCACACCTAAGACCCACCCAGCCCAGGCCTAACTGTTCAGGAAGAACAGGTGCATGTGTGGAGGAGCCAGCAGGCAGCAGAAAAGAAATCATCAGTTCAATGGGTGTGCAGGGAGAGAGCAACACAGATGACTAGGCCTGCAACAGAGTAGCAGGGCTGCCAGCATGCAGAGTCCAAAGTCTAAGACCATGTGATAGGAATAAGGCAAGAAAATGGGGGCGAGAGCCAAGGAGGCACCTTATGAAGTACCTTTCACATACTAAGGAAAGAACTCTGCACTTTGATCTTAGGTAGTGTGGTACCACATAAGGGTTAGTTAGAGGAGTAGCATTCTGGAAGAACTGGTCACCTGCTCCTGCCTGGGGGTCATCCCACACAAGGCCACTACTATTACATCACTGGGCTATCACTGCAAGTCCCATACTCCATCCTCAAGTCTTCTTTGAAGAATCATCCTTCCTTGGTACAATCCACCTGCCCTGATTATGTGGCTTCTGTTAGCAACATCAGCCAAGTATGAGAGGCCGCACACCACATGTTCTACAGAAAAAGCACTGGACATTCCCAGCAAATATTCAGACTGTACAAATATAACCTACTAGCAATACTGAGAACTACTTATTGAACTTTCACTTTAATTATAATGCACAATTGTCAAAAGGATATAATGTAACATGTAACCACTCTCATAATCATTTAAATAAAAGGCTTTCTGGCTTCTGTTCAAACTCTATCCTCACCTTCCAAGTTATTTGAAGGCATTTAATTTGATTGATCAGACTTTAAATAAATTTCACTTCTCAAACTACTTCTTTAACTACCAGAGTTAAAAGTATATAATGAGCAAGGAACCAAGGACTCCAAAAATTGCCTGCCCTATGTCACAGGACAACAACCAGGCTCCCAAATGGTAATGCCAGGGGCTGTGCCTGTTAAGCTGGGAAGCGTTAATAAAAACAACTGGAAGTAGGGTTCTGTTCACTACTATTCTTACCTGAATAGGAAAATAGTATTATAGCACAATAAAGAGGTGGATAGGACCAGTTAAGTCTCAGTTAGTTGATAGAATCATATAGCAGAAACTATGCACAGTAAATAAGACAAAGTATCTAACACCCAGCCTCCTTCTGCACCTTCTGCTTGCCGCACATACCAGGGGCTCTAACTTGTCCTTGTGACAAGGTGACTAATCCACCATAATTTGGGTAGTGGGATTAAAGGTTTTTAAAAATTTTATCTTGTTGGGCCGGGTATTTAGCTCAGTGGTTTCGCCACCTGCCTGGCAAGCGCAAGGACCCGAGTTTGATCCCTGGTACCCCCCCCAAAAAAAAAAAAAAATTTTTATCTTGTGTATTCTTCTGTGTTACTTTTTTTCCCCGCCTTTTTATGGTTAGCATATTACTTTCTTAACTAAAAAAAAAAACTAAGGGCTGGGGATTTAGCTCAGTGGTGCCGCTGCCTGCCTCGCAAGCGCAAGCACAAGGTCCCAAGTTCAATCCCCGGTACCAAAAAAAACAAAACAAAACTTTAATTTTGAAAGAAAATGTTCAGAAACATGTATTTAGCACAGAATAAATAAATGAAGTTTCCACAGTCATCCTTTGAAGGGTCCTACAATCTTCTCTGAAGGTCACTCACCTGAGAGGTGATGTTCAGCGTAACTGTATCCAGGCCTCCAGACAGCATGCCCTGAGTGTCAGCCAGGGTCAGTGTAACACTGGCATCTCCCCCTACACCTGATGAGGACATGACTAGGTTCTGAGTGGAGATGGCTGATGGCGACATTGGTGTTGTTGAAGGAAGGGTCCCACTCGTGGGGTTAAGTTCTACAAAAGAAGCAAAATAAGTAGCTCAATGGAAAAACTAGGCAAGACACATTCTAAGGGAATGGGAAGAGCAGGTTTCATGAAGAAGCTAAGCTGTAGTAATTAGCATTTGCATTACAGATGCTTTTGAAATTACATCCAGGAAATCATAGACTTTCTCATTCCAATTTTATGACAACGCTTTTCCTAGTTTCCAAATATCAGTGTAACATAGAGAAAAACCAGTAAAATGAAAGTGAAAGTACAAACTGCTACCATTGTAGAAAGAAAACTCAGACAAGGATTTCCAGGACTACAGAGACCACTGAAGAAAGAACCAAACAGGTTCCACTGAGTAACAATGAGTTTAATAAGTTAGTGAGTAAATTTGATTATGTCTGCTCATTTCCTCACTTTTATTACCTTTTATATTCTACTTATTCTGAAATACAATCAAAACAAACCTCACACAATCTTTTAAATATTAACTATATGACACCTTATCTTTCTTTGGAAAAGGCAACAAAACTTTAAAATATTTTCCCTGGCAGCTAATGCTAAGAGAAAGAAAGATATGTGAGACAGAAATGGGCAAAGACAGGCCTTTTCTTCTATGAAACAGACACTCATACACCTTCTTCTGCAAGTGAGATGGGCTCAGAATGAGATTACCCAAGTCCTGTGAGGGCACCAACAAAACCAATGTTCAAAGCACTTCCTTATATGCATAAACACACATGCACATATAGGCATGAATACTCTGGCCTCACAACCTACCACCTGTCTACCTATAAATGTACATTCATCATTCCATGTCAGTGCTCTGCAAGGCACTAAGAACCCAAGAAAACAAGCGAAGCCTAAGTTCAAAAAACTATACATCCTAATTAGATTTAGAAACAAAACAAAACAGACTTTCAACACCTTCTGTGACCTAGGTCACATGAGTCCAGAGCCTCTCCTAGGAGTCAGGGGCCAATGGGAAAACCAGGCTACTTACTTGTAACTGGAGTTCTCCAAATACAAGGCCTCCATAGATCCACACTCGTGGAGTCCCACACTGTGCTGCACAGACCTGGAACCTTCAAAAGCAGTATAACCATTAGGAGGCTAGGAGCTTGTGCACTGAAGCAGCTGCTGGGGTGCCCTCCCACCTGCTCCTGTCCTGCACAGTGGACTCCTCAATGCACTGGACAGGAGGAGGAGTGTGGATTTGTGGAGTTTTGCATGCACTAAGCACTCCAGTTACAGAACATTAACCTGGCAGCTTTCCTCATGCTATCTCCACACATCCTTGTTCTTGCAACTAGCATGCAGGCATGTTGGTCACACAAGTGGAGAGAGATCCAAAGGGTCCTGTAGGACACTGCATGGAGCAAATTGATCCAGCTGTCACAGAGCCCAGGGAGGTGAAGACAGTGAGATGGAGGTCCATTCCTGTGAGTCCTTCCTGGGTTCATCCTTAAAACGAGGAAAGCAAAGCTAACACTATTCAAGACTACTGGATAGCACAGAATTCAACCACAGAATTGACCTAACTGGTAAAATAAAAGAAACAAAGATCTTCTCCCTCCCACCTGTAAAACACATCTGACTTTCTAGTGATGATTAATGTATCAAAAAGTTCCAGCACAAAAAGTCTAAAGAGAAAATGGAAGCCTATGATTAATTTAATTAAAAGGAAAACACAGAATAACTTCAGATAATGCCAGAGTTCATATTTCAAATCAAATGGAGACCTTTAATTATGTCATTCTTAATTTGATGGATTTCCACAAAGAGGTAGATATAAATTTAAACCGAATCATCCTTAGTATGAATGAGAAAGATATGAGCCTAGAGCAGGGAAACACTGATTTTCTTAAGCACACACTTAGTTATGTATTTGTTAAATGCTCTAAAAGTCACAACTCTTCAATATAAAATTTAGACTCCAATATTTAAATAAAAATTATAGACTTTTATTTCCCATTTATTTTTCTTAAACCACTATTCCTCTAGAACATACCTCAGTAATCAAAATCTTACTTCATTTATGATTCTGACTCAGAAATAGGAACCTCTAAGAGATCAATAAAGCTGTATGTTCATCAAAGCCAATACCGTTTTATTTTTATTTATTTATTTTTTTGGTACCGGGGATCGAACTCAGGTCCTTCCGCTTTCAAGGCAGGCGGCGGAACCACTGAGCTAAATGCCCGGCCCTTGCTAATACAGTTTTAAATCTGTATTGGAACAAGATCTCACAGCTTCTAAAAAATTTAATACAATTTTGTAAGGTTTCAGAAGATTAAAAGATCCTAGTTCTTTCTTGCAATTAATAAAAATATGAGAAGACAGCAGGTAGGGAGGCTGAAACAGATGGGAAAGCCTGCCATTTAGTCTGGCCCTTCATTCCTAAGTATTTCCATCATTCTAAGGTACAACCTGTAAGTGTTGGGAATTTTCTGCCTCAATTTTAAAATACACCCACCAATGGGAAATGGTGACTTTTTGAGTTATTAGAAATAAATAACAGATTGTACTTAAATCTAGAGGAAACTAAAGATAAATAACCTTACACAGCAGTAGTAAAGAATTAGTTTTTACATTTATTAAAAGCAGAACTCATTTTCTCCTCAAAATTATCTTAAAGTGAAAAGTAGACTAACAAAACAACACTATCTTCAGATAAACTCCTTTAAAAGTCCTGCTAAAAAGAGGGGGGCGGGGAAGTCCTGCTAAATCTTAAGAGTCTATCCACTACCACACTGTCTGCCTCTGAGAGGGTGCTTACACTTATAATGGACCATTTTTTCAGGGAAACAATCTGTGCCTGATTTTGTAACGAATGTTGTCAAGATCAGAAACAGCCTCCAGTCCCATATGCTACCTCCAAACAAATGCATGTGCTTTATTCCTCTGTATGAATCTGACTAATGACCTCCCTGAAAGGCAATATATACTACTTCTTCCAAAGCCTTCAATTAAAGTCCTAACTGCCAGTTAACCCACAGCTGACAGCCCTAGAAACCCCAGCTTTATGGGAAATTTAAAAATAATGACAGCCACATGCATATTCATTACTCTCTGTATCAGTAGTTGGCAACATAAATTTCAAATGGTTAATGCTAATAATTTTTATTTAGTTTTTCTCTCAGAAGAGCCATGATAAATCTCAAAACATTTTAATTTCCACTCTCAAGTGTAATACTAAGACGTGAGTGGGTAGGTGAAAGAATCTCTTCCCACAACCAGGATGACTCAAAGATGCAGTTACCTCTTGATCATATCAAATTTGTATTAAGAATAGCTGGAATTACATTACTACAAAAATGTTCTTTATGAACTCTTATTTTACAGAGTCACCAAATTCCATGAAAACTGTATTTTAAACTTAATACCTGTGATATAAAAGCTAAAATAGCATTAAAAACAAGAGAAAAACTTTCTCAGGTGGCTCTAACACCAAAAAAAGCTCAAGGAAAGAAACAATTAAATTACAGACAGCATGCTGTTGTTTTTAAAGATTGTCAGCTGTAGAATATGGAAGCCTTGTACACTCCAGCCATGAAGAGCTCTACTGCCCAGAAGGAATCTTTACTTGCCTGGGCCCCTGGGTGATACTGTGAGTCCCTGTAGAAGCAAATGTATAGGTAAGATACATGCCACCTATCTAGCCAGATGACACGTTTGAGGCAGAGCTGACTCTTGAGCAGAGCCCTTGGAGTTTGTGTATTCTCATTCCATCCCATTTCTCCATTCCATCAAAACATCCCCAATTTTGAATTAAGGAATCTACTGTACCACCAACATGCATTTATGGTAAAAACCCTACAAAAAATCAGAATACACAGTCTCTACCTCAATCTGATAAAAGCCATCTATGAAAAACTAACAGCCAATATCATACTAAATGGTCAAAAACTGAAA